ATAACTAGTGATTCATCAAGACACAACATACAAAGGAGTGTATGAATTGAAATAGGTGGGTTGAACTCTTATTCTGCTGCAGGATGTACTCTAAATCTAGAGTGAATGCTTAAATAACTAGGTTTGCTTCTTGCTAGTTCACTGATTCAGTTCTAAAGGAGACCAAGATTCTCGCTGTTCATGGTATAAAAGAACAACCAGTAAACCTTAGATTCAAAAAGAAAATGTTGTATGATTCACACATACTTTAAAGAAATGATCCACTATGAAAGTAAGCAAGCAAGCAACAGATGCCAATAAGGGGGTATAAATATAAAAGTAATGTTTACCACAAGTGAATTTTATGTCACAAGCAAATAATTAATTGTGTGCAAAACCAAATGGTACATATCCAGAATGTTCCAGAAATGGATCATACTAGTTTGCTTATCTCTTGTCAATAACTGCATCTATACAGAACTGCAGTGATAGGACAATGAATAAAGAAAACAGATTCAGACATACCTCAAAGGGATTCAGATTAAAATAGGAGGACCCAGGCCTAGTAAGCCTTTCAATCTGATTTTTTGATGTTAAAACAGAATCTCGCTTTTCAATTTGCTTTACCTGTAGAAATTAGCACATTGTTAATAATCAGAACTGCACTATAATTATCAAACCACATGATGATACAACCAGTTAAAAGTAATTATCTTCAGACACTAGCAGGAAAGACTAGAATATAACTATTTCTACCATTTATTGGTCCCATGAAACTGCTCTGCAAATTCTGCAAAATGTTGCCAGCATTTCTACAATACACTAACTGAATCTGGTGTAGCATGTTCTACAAACTCAGAAACTCAATTTCGTACAAGTGAGGAGGGGACTATTTCAACCACCCAAATATTCAGGGAAAACCATTAATTACCCAATCCAGACAGGGCATGTTATTTGAACCTAGAACAGAGAGTTAACTTTCCCTTCTGGAACAGGAAGATGGAGAGAGGAGCCTGGAGTGGCTCCACAAAATTTGGGCTACTCCAGGCACTCTCCTTTTTTCCCCCCTCCCTGCTGAAATGAAGTGGAAGTGGCCAGTCCTGACAACAGCCCATATCCTGTGATCAAACCATCACAATGTGCTTAAGTATTTTTAGCTGTAAAAAAGTAAGAATCAGGAGTTGTCAACTGCTGGGAGGCTGGGATAACAGCCATGATGGCTGCCACCTATCTCATTAGATAGTTGCTATTTTTGATCATCATCTACTGGGTAGGAGCAGCAGAAGATGTAAACATATCTAGTCTATGGGTAAAATTGCTTGCATTCACAGCCATGCAAGCTCTGTGCATTCTGCTCTCTTTCTTTGGTTTCTGTAATCCAAGGATGAAGACAAACTACACAGAATACCAATACCTACATATAACTCTTTGCTTCTTTCAAATGTTTGATTTTACATCTTACATAAGATGTGAAATTAAAATGTTTGGTTAGTTTGTACTTCAGCATGTTGTGCAAACCCAGATAATTGAGTTAATCCAGAAAGCCACAGTTAATTATAACAATATGTTGTATGAAGTGAGCCAAAGTCAACTAGATTAAGACAGGACTGTGACAATAAATACCTAAGTCAGCATGGGAAAGTGCTGGGAATAATAGGAGCTATTACTGAATACATTTGGAAGACAATGTGTTAGGGAAGACTATGATATACACTTCATTGAGGGCAAGCCCCAACTGAATTAAATGTGCTGAATAAACATAAAATTACATCACTTAAAATCTGTCTAATTACATTAATTTCAATTTATTTCATATTTGAACAGGGATGCCATTATCTATGCCAGGGAATCACTAGATGGCAGCAGAGAGACATAAGCTAACTCTTTGCTATCACCTAATGGTGTCCAAACCCAGATTTGGTAACTGTACATGCAACAAGATAAAAAATGTTGGTATTGCAATTGCGGCCTTTTCCCTCTTCTGAAGTTCTCTAAGAGGCAGTGCTGATTGAACTTGGTATAATGCTTGTACTAATACAAATCATCACAAACAAAATAGGGCAAAATGTAATAGCTAAGTAGATTTACATTTAGCCTCATACACATATTCCGAGATTTGAAAACCCACCATTTTCACTCAATGGGAAGATATCTCAAAAGCAAACCGCCTGGACACTGTTCTCTTAATAGGTATAAGAGTCAATGAACTGGTCAGGTTAAGAGCCAATTACAATGAAATCCCAAAGTTGTACTACCAATCATCTGAGTTCTGATTTGAAAGAAAAACTGAACAAAAGCCAGCACAAAGGGATGTGGAGAGGTCAGCAGAAAACCCAAAAGCAAGAGGTGAAGAAGCAGGGAGATCAAGACCAAAACCTTGGAGGAAAGGAGTTGAAATTATTAGGCGGTTGGGAAGCCAGTGTAAATATTGGAGTCTGAGCATAGCCCATAGTGGTTTGGGCCAAAGTCCTGAAGATACAGCAGAGTGCCCAGGTGACTGCGGGGTACATGTTGACATGTGTCATCACATAAATGATGTGACTTACATACTTCTGCCAAACTTCATCTCTTTGCACAATGACCTTATTTTGATGTCATTTTGACTTGTTACAGCCACTGTTGGCAGAGGGAGTGAGGAAAGGAGCCTATCTTTGCATTTCTGTGCAGAACAACTCTTCTTTATCAAGAACCCTGAGTTTCTCTGGGGGGGGAATACTAACTAGGAAAAAGAACAGGGATTAGAACAAAACCTGTGGCTCCAAGAATTTGATGGAAAATCAAGCCTCTGTCCCTCTCCTCCACTCAAGCAGTGGGACTCCCCAATCTTCTTGCCCTTTCTCGTTTTCTAGCTAACTTTCCGTTAATAGGCTACATGCCACCTACACCCACTGCAAGGGTCGGCCCCCGAGCGCCCTTCAGCCTGCAGCTCCCATCAGCTCCAGCCAGAGTAACGAATGGTGACGGGTGGCAGGAAGGCAAAACACCCGAAAGGCGACAAGTTAGCTTGTTCGGGCCCGGCAGATTCCCCGCCTCCCACTAGAAGCCAAGAAAAGCTCCTCCAGCCAGCACGTCCTCCCGCAGGTCAGGTCCCGCAGGTCAACGCTTCTCCCACCCCCTCAATCCAAAGGAACCGAAAAGGCCGGCATCTTCAAACCGGGCCGAAGGGGGAGGCCCAGCCGGGCTGAAAGAAACCACTACAGCCCCAGCCACGAGTCCTGTGATCCGGGACAGGCCGAGGCGGGCCAGGAGAAAAAGGCATCCCTTCGCGCTACGGGGAC